TGGGGTCAGATTGGGTCAGTCTTCTAAGACTAATAGTCCTCTCTGCCCCACCTCTGGCTGATAATCTTTCTGCCTCACCTTCAATTTCTGGAGACTTCCATAGCCAGGTTTAGCCCAAGATTCACTAATTACCCCTGCCCCTGCCTCTAGTGTCTGTCCTTGTGAGACCTTCTGTACGGACAGGACAGGCCACAGTGCAGGTTTTCTGATCCAGCAGACCGGTAGAGGAGGAGTCAGAGTCCTCAGTGGTTTTTTGCAGGTCTTTTATTTAGATTTACCAGGCATATGGCAGGCAGGGGTGCTGGGGGGCCAGGAGGCTGGCAGTCCTCCCAGCCCTCAGCAAATCCTCACTCTACCTGGGCTCTCTGGCATTCTCTGCTTCTCGTTCTGCTTCTGCTGGCGTCCCCATGACGCCGCCCTTATAAACTCAGTCTCTCAGCCCAGGTGTGCCCACTTCAGGTGCCTGCCATCAGGCATGCATTCAGGACCACAGGGTTCCCTCATCTATCCTAATGGCGGGAGGGCAGAAAAGCCTGATACTTTTTCCTTACCCTACACCTTCCATCCTAAACTTTTCTACTCTAGGATTCCATCATTCTGAAGACAAATCAGGGGAAACAACCATCCATTAGCAGTGTGGACTTAGATTAGACATGAGAACTTTCTGACCACGATGTTGGATCACAAAATGGGTGAGCAAGAGTAGACATGCTTGCGATAATTTGGTCAGCACAGTAGCATTCGTCCATATCATCCAGCCCCAGTGGATTGTGGTTTCTCACCATCTCCTGCAAACACCCTGCACCGTGTCTGACATTCCTCATAGCCCCGCATTTATTTATCTCTCTGTGCCTTCATGCTTGCTACTACCGCCATCTGAAAGGCCTTCCCTCCCCAGCTATCCCAAGTCCATAAAGCACATGACAACTGTGCACTGTGGAGTCCAGGTGTAGGGTAAGGAAAAATGTCAGGCTTTTCTGCCTTCCCGCCATCAGGATAGATGATGGATCCTTGTGGTCCTGAATGCATGCCTGATGGCGGGCACCTGGAGTAGGGTGTGGGCATAGGTAGATGGGATTCACCTGGGCTGAGACTGAGCTTTTAAGGGAGGCGTCACGGGGACGCCAGCAGAAGCCGAAAGAGAAGCTGAGAAAGAAGCAGCAGAAGGAGAGAGAAGAGAGAGAGAGCCCAGATAGAGTGAAGACTTGCTGGGGGCTGGGAGGACTGCCAGCCTCCCAGCCCCCCAGCACCCCTGCCTGCTGTGTACTGGGTAAATCCCAATAAAAGACCTGCAAAAAGCCACTGAGGACTCTGACTCCTCCTTTACCCGGTCTGCTGGGTCATAGAAAACCTGCTCTGTGTCCAGGTCCTGCCCCTACACTGGGACACACAACTCTTTGAACCTGCTTTGTGCTCGCTGGCTCCTCTCCTAGGAAGAGAATGTCGTGAAAGGCCACCAAGCCCTCTGCCGGCTACATTTCCCACATGATACCAAATCATGATGTTGGCACTCAGGAACATGCCAGCTTTATGTTGGTTTGGTGCACATCCAGTTTCCTCAGCATCTCATCACCTCGTATACAGTGAGGTGTTACCATCTACAAAGCGCTTTCACACATTTTTATCTTCTTAACAATTCCATGAAGGCCATAGATGAGGAACCTGAGATTTGGGCAGGGCGAGTGGTTTGCACCAGCTCAGAGAACTAGAAAATAGCAAATTAGCACTAGAGGCCAGCATTCCAGATATGGCCAGAGTTCTTTTCATTAAACTATGCGTGGTCTGAAAACTACCTATCCCTAAACCTACCCCACACACAGACCACTGAGAAGGACACAAAAGCCTTCATTACTCATATTGTTAATTGACAGATGACCAGCCAGTCGATATTATAAAACTGTTAAAATTCAGCCTTTGATCATAACATAGAAATACTTTTACTTGGCCATATCTTGGTCCATTTTTTGTATTCCATTGTCCAAGGACCAGGAGCATCCAGGGCACCTCATTATTACCAGCAGTTCACAGCAAAGGCAGAAGCTAAACCAGCCAGCACCCACCCGCCTCCACCCCCAGGCTCAGGGAATGGTACACATTCTACCATTGAAGCTGAACTGAGAAATCCCAAAGCCACCTGTGGTCGTCACCTAGCTCTCTTGGATTATTCCCAGCCTGTCCTCCTTCAAGCCCAGCTCTGTCAGACTTGAGAACTTGGCTCCAGACCACTCTGCGGAGGTCTGCTTCTGTTCTCTGTTCTCCCCAACAAAGTCTTTCCCGTAAGACTTTGGCTTGGTCTCACTTCCTGGTATTAGAAGACAAAGGTGGATTATAATGGATCTTTATGTAAATTAGTGAATATTTATAAACTGCTTAGGACAATGGCTGGCACATAGCATGTGTTTGCTATTATTATCATCTTTACTCCCATCACTGTGATCTGCTACCTGCTAGTATATACATTTGAAACACATGCAGCCTTCTGAACTGCTTGGTATAAAATCCCAAATCCACAGCCTCACACTGGCTAAGCAATCCTAGTCATCTCCAGCGGTGCTTCTCGTGCTCCCAAAACGCAAAATGTTTCCTGGAAGCCCATGAACATGTCAAGTTCTCTAGACCCTTGCTCTGCTATCCTTTTATCCATTGAAATGCTCTTTGTTTCCTGCCCTCATTATCCCCCACCCCCTAACCCAAACAAAACAAAACCAAAAAGCCAATTCACCAATTATCAACTGGGATCTTACTTCCCCTGGGAGGTCCTCCCTGTGTGCATTCCCCACCCAATCCATGGAGATTAGGCTGGGTCTTCCTGCTGTGCTTCCTATACCACTCTTTGGCGATTATGCTAAATCGGGGGGAGGAGTTACCCCATACCTGTGAGCAATTCTCTGGACACCAGTTTTGTTCTACAAGTCAACTCAATTCTGACATCATCTACCTGGATAGTGTCTGATCCTACAGGTTAAGGGCTCAGTCCTACAAGACTGCCCCTCCTCCTTCAGACTCCAGTCACAAGTCCAGTTGTTACCTGTGCTTCTGCCTAACTGGCTATACATCAGAAGTTAGCAGGATCCCCAACTTGAGTTTGCTAGAGCCACTAGAAGCATGCACAGAATGGCTCACAGAATTCAAAGGGACTTTTTACATACTGCATTGCCAATTTATTGCAAAAGGATATGACTCAGGAACAACCAGATGAAAGAGATGCATAGGGCAACAAATGGGGAAAGGACCCCAAGCATCCATGCCCTCTGTGGGATCATCATTCTCCCCAAATCCCCATGAGTTTGCCAATCTGGAAGCTCTCAGAACCCTCTCCTTTTAGGTTGTTATGGAAGCTTCCTTACATAGCCATGATTGATTAACTCATCGGTCATTGGCAACTGATTCAACTTCCAGCCCTTCTTAGAGCTCTGGGTGGTAGGACTGAAAGTTGCAACCCTCTAATTACTTGGTTGGTTCTCCAGGCACCAGCCTCCATGCTTAGGTACAGTCCAAAAGTTAACTCATTGATATAACAAAACACTGCTGTTGCTCTCATCACTTAGGAAATGCCAAGGGTTTCGGGAGCGCTGAGCCAGGAACTGGAGAATGAAAACCAAATAGCATATGAGAAGTATGACCCAAATAATTATTAGTCACAATGTCACAGCATAGATTTACTTCTTTAGTGTCTGTCTTCCCACTAAACTGTAAGCTTCCTGAACTCATAGGAGTCATACTTGAAGAGTCATTGCTGTAGCCCTTCATAATACCTACCACAATACTCGGAATGAGCATGAGCTCAAAAACATACTGAGCTTGATTCAGGGAATCAAGATGGATCAGAAAATGAGGATGACAAGGATGCCAATGAAAATGATGAAATAGCTTCATATGTGCTATTCTTTCTTTATTATCTTTACCACTCAGAACCAGAACCTAGAATCCAATCAATAATAAAAGGAGGAAACAGATGCTAGAACAACACCTCCTTGTGCAATAGCTTGGATGTCTACTGCTACCCTAAAAAGAGGCATTCATTAAAATGGAAAGAGATAAGGGTCACCCCCCAACAAGCTAGTTGCTCAGCCCTGACTGGCCAACACAGAGGGTGCTGGACTCTGCCCTGGCATCAGATATTCCCTGGCACCATTAGTGATGTCATTTAAGGATGTTTAGTAATGTCTTCATCAACCCAAAAAAGGTGAAATGATCAACAAGGAAAGTAAAGGGAACAGTGCACCACTTTCACACTGGCTGGATTCTGTCTAGTAGGACCTGAGTTTCAATACCCTTCCAGGCAACAAGGACCTAACAAATCCCTCTCTCTGCCCAAAACACTTTATGAGCAATTAATTTCAATGGTGAGCACTGGAGAGCTTGCCCCACAAGATCCATCTGGTCCTAAACAGTCCTACTAGTTTTCATCATTTCAGAGCTATTTTAATGACTATTTATTATTAATGTTCACAGAAGTTCTTTCACACGTGTTTTGGACTGAAGGCTCCTCCAAGAACAGATGACATTTTGTGCTCTCTATGAAAGCAGACCACCTGGCGTCTGACTCTGGGTATTGAGGTTGGGCGACTTATCTGGACACTTGGCTTCTGTAGTGGGTAGGAATGGACACAGTGCAGGCTTTCTATGATCCAGCAGACCGGGTAAAGGAGCAGTCAGAGTCCTAGAGTCCTCAGTAGCTTTTCAGACTTTTATTGGGATTTACCCGGTACACAGCAGGCAGGGGTGCTGGGGGGCCGGGAGGCTGGCAGTCCTCCCAGCCCCAAGCAAATCCCCACTCTATCTGGGCTCTCTCTGGCGTTCATTCTGCTGCTTCTCAGCTTCTCTTTTGGCTTCTACTGGCGTCCCCATGATGCCGCCCTTAAAAAGCCCAGTCTTACCCCAGGTGAATCCCATCTGCCTCTGCCCACACCCTATTCCAGGTGCCCGCCATCAGGCATGCATTCAGGACCTCAAGGATCCATCATCTATCCTGATGGCGGGAAGGCAGAAAAGCCTGACATTTTTCCTTACCCTACAGCGTCCTACAACCACATTTCTACCTTCTGCTTCCCTAATCCAGCACTCTATCCCCAAATTTTCCTCACTCCCTCCACAATTGTTGTGTAAGGGATTTAGTCCCCCATAATCACCATGAAGCCATTCTAAATCTGTCTCATATAAATACTCAGTCCATATAAGCAGTATGATTTTTGCCCAAGAGCAGCTTCAGACCCTTCTTAGCTGCTCCCCCTCCAAGCAGACTGCTACTCTATGCCCCGTCACCCCAGTCAGGGTCAAATGTCAGCAAGCAAATTATTTAGAACCCAGAGGATGCTGAACAAGGCACAAGGATATTCCCTGGCACCATCAGTGATGTCACTTGAGGACTATTGGGAATGCACAGTCGCCACTGCTACAGGAGCCAGCACCTGGCTTAGTAATCCAATTTGATCTGGCAAAACCTGACTGTAGGGTAAGGAAAAATGTCAGGCTATTCTGTGCTCATGCCATCAGGATAGATGATGGATCCTTGTGGTCCTGAATGCATGCCTGATGGCGGGCACCTGGAATAGGGTGTGGGCAGAGGTAGATGGGATTCACCTGGGCTGAGACTGGGCTTTTAAGGGTGGTGTCACGGAGACACCAGCAGAAGCCGAGAGAGAAGCCAAGAACGAGCAGAAGCCAAGAGAATGCCAGAGAGAGCCCAGATAGAGTGAAGACTTGCTGGGGACTGGGAGACCTGCCTGCCTTCTGGCCCCCCAGCATCCCTGCCTGCCGTGTACCTGGTAAATCCCAATAAAAACCTGAAAAGCCACTGAGGACTCTGACTCCTCCTTTACACGGTCTGCTGGATCAGAAAACCTGCACTGTGTTCATTCCTGACCTTACACTGACTGTTCACAGATAGTGTTGATCCTGGCTCCACCATCAATGCCTGAGAGAGCCTGGGATAGTCTTCACTTCTTTGAGAAGGAAACAACAGTCCTTCCTCACATAGTTGCTGTCAGAATTCAAGATAACATATACCAGGTTCCTAGCTCCCAACCAAGTGTAGATAGTGTAAGTATGGAGTGTTTGCAGTGTTCTAGAGATGGTAGAACTCCATCTCTACTGATAAACACAAGTCAAGAAAGACTTTGTAAAGGAGTCTTGAACGAGAAGTGAGGTGTGTGGCAGATGGACTAAGGGGGTGAGCACAGTAGGCAGGAGAGCAAAACAGCTAGGACTAGAGGCTGAAGCATTGGGCCTGTGAGAGCAGGTGACATGATTTAGCTGGAGCAGATTGGGAGAAAGGAGCCTTGGGATTGGTGGCTGATCCGGGATGAAGCTGGATAGAAACCGCCTTGCAGGGCCATCATGAAGCTGTAATGGTTTGGCCTATAAAGTAGCCAAATGATTCTAATAGCAGCTAGATAGTGAAAAATTAAATATCATGTATTCAAACCCCACAATTTAAGAGTCCCTGAGCTGATGGAGACCTCTGCACCACCTGAGAAGAGGTTTCCTCATCAGAGAAGATGGCAGCCCTAAGAGGAACAAAAGAGAAACTGATTTAGGAGAGCTGAGTCCTCTGGATTCTCTTGCATCGGTACACTAATAACACGGTGAAATTCAGTTCCTATCTCATCCTAGAGGCTTGGCTGATAAGTCAGGTCTCAAAGACAAGTCACCAGTCCTAAAAAATGACCTTGCAGATGCTCACTATTCAACCTTTATTGTGCTCTCACCAAGCACAGGCCATTGCTTTTGGCCTTGGGACACTGTAGGGTAAGGAAAAATGTCAGGCTTTTCTGCCCTCCCGCCATCAGGATAGATGATGGATCCTTGTCCTGAATGCATGCCTGATGGTGGGCACCTGGAATAGGGTGTGGGCAGAGGTAGATGGATTCACCTGGGCTAAGACTGTGCTTTTAAGGGCAGCGTCATGGGGACGCCAGCAGCAGCAGAAGCCGAAAAGAAGCCGAGAGAGAAGCAAAGAAGCAGAAGCAGAGAACGCCAGAAAGCCCAGAGACAGTGCGGATTTGCTGGGGGCTGGGAGGACTGCCAGCCTCCTGGCCCCCCAGCACCCCTGCCTGCCGTGTACCGGGTAAATCCCAATGAAAACCACTGAGGACTCTGACTCCTCCTTCACCCGGTCTGCTGGATCAGAAAACCTGCACTGTGTTCATTCCTGTCCTTAAAGACACAAAGATAAACAGTACAGTCAGGAGAGCACGGGGCCTTTGGTGGGCCAGGCCAGCCTCAGCACCCAGCCCAGACTGGTGTCCACAGTGAGTGCTCAGAGACCAACTGAGGCAGGGCCCTCAAAAACCAAGATGGTTTCCTCTTGGAGGAGGGGAGGAACTTGGCTCCCAGCCTCCCTTTCCTCCTTTCTACCCTCCTGATGCCTGAAGGGTTCCCCTCTGTCAATCTTTTCTTTAACTGACCTGTTCCAGGGTGGCTCTTTTGTTGTTGTTGTTGTTGTTGTTGTTTTAAAAAGGCCTTTTTTTGCATTGAGGAAAATTTGACAAATTTAGAAAAACAGAAGGAAAAATCACCCAGAACTTCACTACCACTGTTCACATTTTGATGGTTCTCTCTAGTTTTATTTTCTTCTACATAGGCAAGTTTGATTAATGGTTTATTGGTTATATGTGAACAATGCGCATGGAATTTTATGTACTACTTTTTTCAGGAGCATCATATCACAAGCATTTTTATTTTCATTAAAATTTCTTTATAATAATGATCCTTTTAAAGAGACTCATGACACTGACCTTGAGTCCACTTGGTCACGCTCCTCATTGCTCTAAGCTGAGTGAAGTCCAGCAGGGGTCACAGACTTAGAGTCAGGTGGATTCAGGTCCTTATCAAATCCCATCCTGACACTTACTTCGTGATTTGGGACAAGTTACCTAATGTTTCCAAGCCTCAGATTTGTCGTCCATAAAATGGAGATAATCATAACCACTTGGCATGGTTTTTGAGAAGGGGAGCTAACACATTTAAAGCACTAAACACAGCAGGTTAGAGTCTAGAAATGAGTGGTGCTCAACCTTCAACTGGAAGATCCCAGAGCTTGAACCAACATCTGAGCAACTACATGGAGAGCCTGTCATGGCACAGACAGGCACACACAGGCACTTTTGCAGAAAGGGCCCTGAAAATGACCAACAGTACCAGCCCCTCTCTCCCCCCTCAGCAACTTTTCCGGGGGTGGTGGTATAGCAGGGAGAACACAGGTTTTGGGACTAGACAGCCTGGGTTGGAATCTCACATCTACCACTGTGTGACTCTGGGCAACTCATCAAAGCTCCATGAGCCTTGTTTTTCTCATCAGTGGGAATCATGAAACAGGTCTTGGTGTAGATTCAGCCAAATGAACTATTACATGAAAATCAGTGTGAACATAATAAAGGTGCTTAATGAATCTTCCCTCCACATCTCCCCCAGAATTTTTCTGGTTTTTTGGTGATGAGATCATGAACTTACAGACAGAGCACAGAGCTGCTCTTCTGGATTTGCCACACACACCCATTTCAAGCCTCTCTGAGCCTCAGTTTCCCTCATCATTATACATTGGAGACAATAATCCCACTGCTTCCTTCATGCTGGGATGAGCAGTTAACAACCAGAAAGAAGGAAAATGTGGTTGGAATGGAACCACTGGGAAGTCCTGGACAATTTCTTCTCCTCCTCCAGGTCAGGCCCCCCAGTCAATGCTGGGCAGATAAGAGGATTCAGCCAATGATGGATTCCAAGGAGGGACCTCCAGAATCACATACCAGGGTCTCCGTCCCAATTCATTTCCTCAGTTTTCAAGAATAGTTTTATAAGAAATAAATCTTTTAAAGGGATTTTTCCTGAGAGGACAGTGCCCGAGGCTCTGTATCAGTAAGTGTTTGGTAATGAGAAACCAATCCAGGCATTTCAAGAAGGGGCTCACTCAAGGAAATTAAGTTCTAGAAACCCATTGGAAGGCAGAAGAATAAAGGGTCAGGGAGGTTAGCACTAGCTTTCAGAGTGCAGGAAGCTGCTCCTGCTGAGCAGAATAGGGGCTGCAGGAAAGCAGTGCCTCTTCTCATTACATGCAAACACTCCTTTCATCAAGAGGTAGAGACTATTTCATTTTCCTTAAATCTGGACTAGCACTGTGACTTGTGTTGACCAATAGAATGAGGCAAAAGAGTCAGTCACTCTCACCCTAACCTAAAGAGGGCATGAAAAGGGGAAATGAGATTTTAAGGGAAGCAAAGAACATCTTCATAGAAGAGGTAATGCCTAAGATAGAGAAAATAGTGTTTTTCAGGTCAGTAATTCCAGACAGGAGCAATATGAGCAAATATACATGGAACAAACAGGTTGGGCACAGGGAGAGTAAGGAATCTACTTACAAGCAATGTGGGTGCCAGGAAGCATCAAGGGCAGGGCAGGAGGGAGGCCAGCAATGGGGGTAAAAAAAACCCACATCAGTTTGGGAATGGGAGGCTGCTTTGAGCCAGTGGTTGAAATTCACAGACATAGGGGCTTAGTCAACTTCAAGGTTACGAGCCCCCAGTTTCAGAGATCTAAAGAAAATGAGGTACCTCCCCGGATGTTGGTGGGAAGATTCCCTCTCTCCAGAGATGTCCGTGTCTCCTCAGGATTGGTCATAGCCTATAGGGGTTGGTAAGTGGGAGTAGAGATAGTCTGGTATTTTGGAACAACTTGGCCCTGTTTTCAGCTATCCAAGTGCCTGTTCATGAGCACATACCTCTTTTCTAACCTCACTGCTATCTAAATAGAGTCCTAGCACTTCTCAGAGTATCATTTATGGAAATAAAGTTATAGTGGAATGATACCAAAAGGGGAAATGAATCTTATTTCTTGTTATCCATGGACTAGGCAGCAACTCAAATCTGCACAACAACCCATACCCTGTTTACTGTGTCTTCCTCTCCCACCCCCAACATCTTTTGTCTTTAGCTGTTACTTCAAGGAAGTGGCTTAGGCCATTTAGTGAGTTGCTCGGTTTTTCTGAATCTCACCTATCTATACAGAAAGTACATGTTATTAAACTTTTTCTCCTGTTAATCTGTCTTTTATTATACACAAGACACAAGAGGTCTCAGCCACAAATTCAGAAGGGTAGAAGGAAAACTATTTTTTGTTCCATACAAAGGTTTGTCTATTCTACCAGATAGCAAGTTATAGAGGCAAGAACCATGGTCTCCATTCATTAAGCAAATGCTGTGACATTCCTACTGTGTGCCAGGCACTGTGCTGGGAAGTGGTAGGGCAAGAGTAGTAAATGAGACCAGGACCAGGTAGCACTAATTCATCTTCGTGTCCCCATCACCTGCTCAACCCAAGCACATAGTAGGTAACTGGTGAGTATTGTTTCCCCTTCCCTTACAAGCTCTTTAAAAGAAAGAGTCAAAGTTGGTCCACTCAGAAGCAACTTTTCCTTTCTTCAGAGAGGCTCAAAAGTGATTAAGCAGTGCATTACCAGAAGCCTTTAACTTGTTCCAACCCCATTACCTTTTATATTAATTGTTGAAACCTTGTGACTTTTGGGGGTCATCATATACCCTCTTCATAGCAGTGCTCTTAACCTCTTAAGGTAACTTCTTATCTTTTCCTTGAACTATAACTATTCCTCCCTTGTTAGAGGTTAGTCCCTCACATCAAACCTGCCAAGTTTCACCTAAAACAAAGGTGGTTTGTTCCGTTCATTCTAGTTGCCAGTGTTAATCTCCAGCCCATAGAAAAGCTAGGGAAGGAGGATGGGAAAAAAGAGCTCATTTAGAAAGTTGGGAGGAAGTTTGGATATCAACACTTGATAACCTCTGCTTTGGGGGAAATCCTCTCTCTATCTCAAGACAAACTTCCTGGAGAAAATCTATAGGAGGCACCTATGCTGATCAATCATGCAGGAGGGCAAGTATTCCTACCTCCAAATCAGCGCCTGAGTTCCAAGGATAAGAGAAGCCTCCCACACATATACACCCTCCAGTACTTAGCCAAGAAATAAGCCTCCCCTGTGACTAGAAACTGTGGGGGAGGGGAAATTCCCTTTCCTCTCTTGGTTCTTCTCAGCTGCTTGAATAATCAAATAAACATCAGATAGATTCACAAGAGAAAAATAAAAGCAATTTAATTACATAAGTCTGGGAATCCACACAAAGAATCTGAAGATAATTAGGCAAAATAGGTGTATACATGTCATTCTGGACTAAAGAGAAACGGAAGGAAGGCAATTCACAGGGAGATGAAAAAAAAAATAACATGTTGCTGGGCCATGCAGAAGACAATGACAGGAATTTTTGTTTTTAAAGATTTATTTTTATTGTGTAGAAGAACTAGGGTGTAGGCCAGAGGTATGGGGTGGGGGTGAGTGGATTCACCAGAGTCAGAATGGAAGCAGAACAGGCAGATCTACTGAAATACAGTGCTGAGGGGAGCAGCCTTAAGACTGGAGAGGTCTGCTGCGCCATGTGGGTCAGCTCCCTGGCTGGGGATTGAACTCCCGATCCATAACAGTGATAGTGCTAAGACTTAAACCCTAAGCCACCAGGGAGGCCCAATGACAGGTATTTTAACAAACAAATTTTGCTAAATTCCTTCCTATCTGCTACACCTACTTTACAGTAGCTGAGTAATCTTTGGAGATAGCTTCTTTCCCGGGACAGGTGAATTCATTAGGCATTTTAAAAGGGAGATCATGAGCTCTCCCCATATTTTGGGTCCTAAAAGCTGAAGCTTAAGACAATCCACATTGTCCACTTAATATGCCACATTTCAAGTGGCCTATTTTGGGGTCAGCTATTCTGCTCCCCATCAAAGGCAGTAAAACCCCCAACAAGAGAGATATTGATTTGCTTGGTATTATCACTCCTTCATTCAACAAACATGTATAGCTCACCACCTGGGTAACAGGCACATAGCTGGCCCTAAAGATTCGACAAGGACTAGCGCGTGGCCCCTGCTTTTCAAAAGCCCTCTCAAGGGGACAATTTGCTTAAAGAAAGGATGACAAAACCATCGCTTGGGTCCATGATATCTCACCCACACTGAACAGCATGGGAGTTCCTGAGCAAGGAGTGCTGCTCGTGTCTGTGCTTAAGCCCCTTTCTGCCAGGAAAGCCCCTCTGTCCACCCCCACCTCCAAGCTGGCCAGGACTACCCACAGCCCTTCTCTGACAGCAGGTTTCCCATCTTCAACACATTCCAACCGGAGGAAGGGGAAAACCTGGGCAAGTGGCAGTACTCAAGACTAAAGTGGCCCAGGAGTCATTCTCCAGCCGTGCCACGATCTCTGGAGGAGGCCTGGGGTCTCCAACAGCCACTGCCTTTCATTGTACAGACAGACCTGAAAGCTTCATTATGCAAATACCAGTGAGGCAAAGTGAGTGAAGATACACGAGCCAAGGTGTAGACTGTAAATCTCAGGTGCTTTCTGCTGGCATTGTGCTTGTAACCTGGACACTAGGTGAGGAGAGACCTCACTAAAGAGAAGGGTCATGCCCGGGTGAACCTGAGACCAGCGAGATGCGAGATGCAGGTCACGGCTGCCTGCCTGTCAGTTTGGATTGCCTTGATCTTCCATCGTGTGATTATGCACCCTGCTGGTTAAGGACCCAGTCCCAAATTGAGTTCCAGGGCAAGTAAGGGTTAATGAGGCAGCTTCAGGGTCAGTACAGGCAGGGACTTCAGAAGAGTTAAAGAGGCTTCTGAAGTAAGGGCAGAGAAATTCAGGAGAGCTAATCAGGGCAGTAAATTTTAAGACTAAAATTTATGGTTAATTGGGATAGTAAATTTTAACAGACCTTGGACAGGGGAGGTAAAAATAGAAACTGTAGGGGCCTCCCTGGTTGCCCAGGGGTAAAAGTCTCAGCACTAACAAGCTATCTGCAGCCACTGCAGCATGAGTTCTATCCCCGTCCAGGGAGCTAACCCACCTGGCACAGCAGCCCTCTCCTGGCTTGCCCGCTGCTCCCCTCAGCAGTGTATTTCAGTGGATCCACCTGTTCTGCTCCCCAATCTGTCTGGTGAAACCTCACCCCTGCCCCCGCACCTCTGGCCTACACCCCAGTTCTTGTATGCATATATAAATAAAAAATCTTTAAAAAGAGAGGGAAACTCTAAGGTAAGAGCTGGGAAAAGGGCACATCTGTTCGGAGCAGTACAGAGACTAGGAGAAGGCAATCACAAAATAGGATGGTGAGATTTTGGAATAGAGGATAAAAGGTTTAAATCTCCCTCAGACAAGGGCCCATATTTGAGTCTTTTGGCCCTCCTTGGCATTGCTGCCTTGGAGTTTTTGCTTGTGTTCTTTTTCCTCTAAATTTCCTTTCTTGAATAGTTTGCTTCTCTCTGCTTACTTATCTAAAAAGTCTGTGAATTCCTTTTCACGACTTCGTGCAACAAGAACCTATGGTGGTTCAAGGGCTAAATTAACAGCACACACACCAGCTTCAAAATCACACCACCACAGTGTGATAGGGCTGGGATCTAAACTTGGATCCACCTGGCTCTGGAGTTCATACTACCTGATTCGGTCAGCAAGCCTTCATCTCCTGATTCTCGGGGGCTACTCTGTAAACTTCAGCTGTGTGCATTTAAAAGCCAAGACCCCAGCTGATTTAAGACCCACCCACCCGCATGTTCATGCAGGGCTGTGGAAGTCTGAGAAAAAGAGCACAAGAAGGCTGCTGAGGAAGGCAGAGCTCCAGGGCTCCCTCTGGAGGTGGCGGCCTCTCTGCCTCTCTCCTTCACTCCCTGCAGGGGCAACTCAAGGGAAAAGTATCCTCACCCTTCCAAACCCTGGCCAGTCTTCACTCATACCTCTCCTGCTGGTGAAAGGCCTGGGATGCAACCACCACACCCCCCTCCCCCCCCCGTGATGCAGGAGAGGGCCCTGACTTCAGAGGGCTAAAACCAAGCATGGGGGAGGAAGGTAGGTTCAGCTGTGGGACTGGCCTGAAACCCCTCAGCTGCCCCCACCCTTGTGGGGGCAGAGAAGTCTGGCAGAGAGGGCAGCCCTCCCAGGCTAAGTCCTCAACACCTAGTGTGACAGCGCACAGTGGAGAACACCCATGTGGAGAAGGAACGAGCAGGTGTTCAACAAGACACCAGGGCGCCCACAAATCGATGTGCTTCGTTACCGGCCCGTCGAGTGGGTGCCTGCAGACATGTCTGCATCACTTCAAGTTGTGTAAGCACAAGAACACAAACACGCTAGCTCTTCCTTCCCGCTGAGAGTCCTTGGGGAGCTTAAGGACCAGCGTGGCCTCCCTCTGCATCCTCCTGCTGCTCCTGCTCTGGCCAGTTCCCTCTGGACCTTCCCCACCACTCCCTTTCCTTCCTCTCTTCCTCCCTCCCCTCCCCCCTTTTCTCCCCCTCCTTCTCTGTTGCTCTCTTTTTCTTTCCAATCCTGGTAGATTTACTAGCTTTGTGACCTTGAAAAGGGGCTCGAGCTCTGAATTTCCATCTCTTTCTGCAAAGCAGAGCTCCCGACCAGTGCAGCCAGCCACAGGCAGGTAGCCGGCTCTGGGGCCCGGTTCCACGTGAAGCATTTGACAAGCATTAGAGCTCATGACTCCTCACCACGTCAGGAGGGCAGAGGTGAGGTAAGTAACCCAAGAGCAACTTGTATGGAATTGGGTGTGATTCAAGTCTCTTTCTCCACCGGCTTCAGTCTCTCCATCACCTTCCTTCTTGCCTTCCGATTGGCAGCAAAGCAGGAAGGGCCAGTCCAGACCCAACAGGGCGGTATCTACTATAGCTCCTTCAGCGTCCTTCTGTATTTTACGCAAGGCACATCCACCACTCAGGAACACGGTAAAGGCAAGGGCCAGGGCTCTGCTTCCCTAGGCAGGATGGTGCCCAATTGCTTGGCGGACTGCTGGGCTTGGCGTAGCTCTGAGGGCTTGATGGTGACAGGCAGGGACAGGACAAGCCCCACACAAACAACTGACATTGGAAATGGAGGGGGCTAGAGAGAGCCAGGCAGAGCAATGGGGGGCAGAGGTAGGTACACCTCCTCAGAGGGACCTTTACTAGCACCACCACGCACCAAGTCCCAGGCTAGGTTCTTCAACTTCATCTTACTTAATCCTCACAGAGGAAGGTGGACTCCAGGGAACATGCTTGAAAAGGTGCTGAGCTGAGATTCAAACCCAGATCTGCCTGGCTCCAAAACCCATGCCTGCTCGCCTCCACACAGGCTGCCGTCCAAGGTGCTGCCTGCTGCAGGCTCAGAGAAGGACGCCCAAAATAAATCATGTTCAGAGTAATGTAAAAGCACATTCCCCAACCTTACATCATAACCGGCTGGGAGGGCAAACACAGGATGCTGGGGTCACAGACAAGGTAAGAGGAGCTGTCTGAGCTTCTCCCTCACCTGCCTTTCTGCCTTGGCCTGCAGGGCCAATGGATGATCCCAAACTGCTGCTGCTGGTTAGTTCCAGAAGAGAGGCCTGTCAACTTCAGTGTCTTAGACAGCTTCATTCTCCTGGCCATGGGGGCTCAGTTTTGTTTTTTATACTGCAAGACAGAGAGATCATTAGAAGATGGTGAGGAAATGAATGGGGGAGGGAGGACCCAGGAAAGCCTGAGAGCCGGGTCAGCGAGGCTGCAGGAGCCTCCTAAGGGGCTCCCTGGGGTTTGAGGGTGAGGTGACCCAGCCAGCAGCCTTGTAGGTGGTGCGATCTCTGGCTGGTGCCTCAACTCCCTTTCTTCTTTAGTGGAAAGAGAAGCTGATAGGGTCAGAGGAAAGAGGAGGTCAGAAGAAAGAAACTGGAGAAGTAGAATTGAAAGTTGTGGCATGTCCATCCTTTACTTTGAGCTGTCTTTTTTTTAAAGATTTATTTTATTTATGCATAGAAGAACTGGGGTGTAAGCCAGAGGTACGGGGGTGAGAATTCACTAGAGACGGAATGCGGAGCAGAACAGGCAGATCAACTGAAATACACTGCTGAGAGGAGCAGAGGGTGAGACAGGAGAGGTCTGCTGTGCCATGTGGGTTGCTCCCCGGCCAGGGACTGAACTCATGCTGCAGTGGCTGTTGATAGCTTGATAGTGCTGAGACTTAACCCTTGTGCCACCACAGAGGCCCTGAGATGAGTCTTGTTGAAAGAAAAAATATCTCAGTCCAATCACCGAGTTTAACAAGTGAAGGGACCCTGCATCTGAAGACCCTGATTTAGAAAGCCAGGAGGAGGGGCCTCCTATTAAACCAATCTAGGTAGTTCTAATGCCAACATGTAAGAAATAGCCAACCAGTCTCTATTCCTGCCTTCCTGCCTTCCTCCCTTCCCCCAGCAAACTTGATGGTTTCCTCTACATCCTGGCCTCGGGCTGACTACCTGCCAAGATGAGGAGCTCGCTACCACCAAGCCAGCCTTCTGCTCAGGCTGTGCCAGCTTTGACACTAACTTTCAGGAAGGCAGTTCTTTCTTCTTTCTCCTCCCCTCCCCATCAGTTAATTCAGCACTGTTAGACAGAAACTGGACTTTAGGGATTGAGGGTTCCCCTCACTCCCCACTCCTTGCAGAAAACAAATGCAACCACCAGGGCATCTGTGATCACCAGAAATGTTGAGCTTCTGCAGCAGGAGCAGCGGATCCTTCCCAACTGTGGGGCAGGAGTGACCTCTGGTGGTTACTGAGAGTATAGCCATCAAGGCCGCCGCAGGCCTATGGAGAAAGAAGCCAAGTACTTACTTTGTTCATGATCCAGTCAGCATCTTCAATGGCTCTTTTAATAATCTGCTGGATTCTCTCAGGATTGTCTTCATCCGAATGAACCCGGAAACTCTGGAAATTTAAGCATAAAAGATGACTAAGCAAAATTCACAGAACCAGCAGCTCCAGAGGAGCCCTGATGAGCCAGGTTGACTGTTTCATGCTCAACATCACTCTCCCTAACACAGTGACAGCAGTCCCCCTCCAGAGATGAGGAAAGGGTTTCAGAAACCCCAGCTTGCTTGCCATTTAGCAACACCAGTATTTCCACATTCCTGCCAGAGGGGCAGTTGTGGAAAGAAAGACTGGCCCCCAAGCTACCTCCAAATCAAACGGGGCCCCAAGGTTACCAGGCAGTGGGAGCTTAAGGGAAACATCTCTTTTTCATTTGCTCCTGCCAGAACCCTGCTTTTACCAAAGAGAGAGCTCTGCCTGTTCTCACAACAGGGAGGAACAGGGCTTCTCCTGGCCCCTGCTGGAAAGCCAAGCAGGGAAAGGAGGCGCCATGGAGCAGGGGACTTCAGAAAATCCAGCCAGGCCCCACGCAGAGCAATGCAGGGCTGTCATCTGCTTTGACCAGATGTTCACCCTTGAGAAGTAACTGAGAAGTGAGACGCAGGCTCACTGGAATGGCCCTCAGTGTCCCTCAGAAGAACTGGTGCCTCCTCTTCCATCACTATCAACCCCACACGTCCACCAAGTGCCTCAGATGCTCACCTCGGGGATCACCTTCAAACAGCTAAATGCTTCCTACTCCATGTTTCCACAATTCTGTTGCTTTTTTTTTTTTTTTAAACTTTCCACATTATATTTGTATTGACTTTACTTTTTCACTTTTTATTTGGAAAGAATTTCCAATCTACAGAAAAGCTTCAGGAATAACATGAAAGAATTCCCTGCCAGAGGTGCCAATGGTTAGCATCTTGCCACACTTGCTTTATTGTTGTTCTCTTCTTATGTGTTTGTATAAAAGATGTTGGGAGCATTTTAAAGTTGCAGGCTTTGTGCCTGGCCCCTTAAGCACTTCAGTGTGAATTTCCTAACAAAAAGGGCTTCATTTTACATAACTACAGCAACCAAACTCAGAAAATATAATTTCGATACAACACTATTAGCTGATCTACAGCCCTTATTCCAGTATTTCCCCAATGCTGCTGTTTGTAACACCGTTTTTTCTGATCCAGGATCCAATCTGAGATCACTCATTACAGTAACACATCTCCTTTGCCTTCCTCCACACCACAGTTCTCCCGCCCTTCTCCATGTTTCATGACATTAACATGTTTGATGAGTCTGGGCCGGTCATGTGGTAGATGCCCCCTCAATTTGGGTTTGCTTGGCATTTTCTTATGATTAAATGCAGGTGTGCATTGTTGGCCATGATTCCTGACAAAACGTGTCCCACGTGCTCTCTTCATTATCCCATTAGCTGCCTTAGTCAAGCCCTGACACAGGGCTGGTGCGCTGGGTGATGCCACCTCTGTCTCCTGAAGCAGCACCAGACAGAGGCACTGGCTACCCAGCTTCTGGTGGCTCTGATCACACTGCGGCTCCACCACCTGAAACACATCCCTGCCCCTGCCCCCAACCCGGTGACAGGTCCCCTGTTAGAGGAAGTGCCCACCCCAGCCCAGTCCCAGGGGATCTGTTCCCACCTGCCTGACAGCATGTCTATAATGCTCCTGGATGCCCTTGGTTGGCAGCTGCCGGCAGCAGCGCAGCAGGTACCGGTAGAGCTGTACCGGCCTCTGGACCAGCTCTGCCCCTGGCAGTGGGGCCATCTGCAGAACTGTGCCTGGAAAACAGAACATCCTTCTATATGGCAACAATAATTGGCCCCAGGCCCCAGGTTCCAGCACACAGTGAAGCAGGCTTCAGCAGCGTTGAGACCAGGTGCCCTGCACACCCTGACCTGAGCTCAGTCTGGGCATTCAGTTGTGCAGAAATCACAGGTCAGAGCAGGCCTGCAAGGACCAAAGGTAAAACGAGCAGGTTCATCCTGGCATCTTCTTTCTGGAGACCAACTTCAGCCTGTGAGTGAGGAGGTATCACTGACAGGGCAGACAAGCAGTAAGGCCCTGCCTTGAAGTCATGGAGAAAGCAGCTGACTTCAGATAACTGGGGCAGGGGAGGGCTGGGCAGCAATCCTGGGGATGCCCAGAGGTCTGAGCCTCCCTACTAAAAGTGTGGTCTGGACCAGCAGCATCGACTTCACCCATGAGCTCATTAGAAATGCAGCCGCTTCCTGCAGACCTATTAGAAAAGAACCTGCATTTTAACAAGATGCCCCAGAGACTCCTGCCTGGACCTCCACCATACATCCCTCCTGGTTTCCCTGCCTCCATTCCATCACTCCCCGTCTCCTCCACACTCTTGCTCAAATCAACCTCCGAACCAACACCCTGGGCTCATTCCATGGTGATCCAAGGGACCTTCTCCCAGACCGTCCAAACCAGCAAGTATGTCACCTCTCGGTGCCTTTTGCACAAGCCACCACTTAGCATAGAGCTCCCATCCCCATGTCCTGCGTGCAGGCAACTTGCATTCAGCCTTCCAAGTCCAGCTCAGTGTCACTTCTTCTGCGAAGCCCTTCCTGACTGTCCTTCCCCAGGGAGTGACAGTGCCCTGTTCAAGGAGCTACCACAGTGCTTCCCACACTGCCAGGGATTCATCTGCTGCCAGGCCTGTGGAGCCTGGCCCAGGCCCCAGCGCTTCATGCCCTGTTTATTATACTGGCCTGAATGGAATCTGTTATCTCCTCTGTGCAGATTTCCCCTGTATGAGAGGGAAATGCACTATGTTCCAAATGAAGGAGCTAAAAGACCAAGATTAAGCGACTGGCCTTAGTTTTAAAATAACATAAAAGAAGAAAGACAACGCCCTCCCCCTCAAAAAAATAAATAAATAAGGAGAACCAGCATACTAAATCTATCAGAGGCCCTTAAACTAAGAAAGGAAACTTATTAACTGCTGGTTTCAGAGGCCCCTTCATTCCATTTCCAACATGTTATCTTCCTGGCAACAAAAAATGTCTGTCTCCACAGCTAAATTTGCCAGTGCCTCCTGGTACCCTGAGCTCTCGCTCTGACACTGCAGTGGGCAGGTGGACGCCCACCCCCACCGTCCTTCCTCCTTCCGGTAACAGGGGGAGAAGTGCAACTAAGGCTTCAGGGCTGCACAGCGGATCTTAGCCCACAGGCCTGGGAGGGGCTTCACTGCAGGCTTGACCAATCAGGGGCCTTCATCCAAGCGGTGGCAGGGATTGGTTCACAGATGGGCACGCGGTGGAAGCTGGTCCAATCACAGTGACTCTCAACACCTATGCTGAGGGACCAGAAAGGACTCCGCTTTTTCCCTCTAGACTTGACTCAGCTGAAAACACTTGATCCTCTTTCAGGGAAGCCATTGTGCCTCCTCTTGAAGCCTCAGACTGAAGCCACACAGCTGGCGGCAGTGCTGAGACCCTGAGCAAAACCATCTGAGGCATTCATTTGGTGCCTAAAACTATCCACCTGAAAACAGCCCCACCCTTAGACCGCCAGTGATCTGAGCTAATGAATCCCCTCCACCAAAGCAGGTTGGAGATGCTATTTTGTTTCTGCAACCAAAAAAATCCTAACTGATAGACAGAGGCTCACCTCTCAATTTCTTCTACAATAAACTCTGATGAGCTCCAGCTCCATGGAAGAATGCAAATAGGGCAGAGCTTCTTAAGGTCCTTCTGCAATAAATACCAACCTGCCAATCCACTGGCCACACTTTGGCCCAACAAGCAGTGGGGAGTCCGATACAACTGGGACAAAGACCTTCAAGGGTTGCCATAGAGGACATACCACCCCAACCTGATGGGCAGACTCCACTGGCAGGTTTCCCCAAACTATATAAAGTGCTAATCAAATATTGTAAAATCCTAGTCGCGTAACAGATGGCTACCATCTGCAGTCTTCAAAATTAACATTTGGAAAGAGCACAACTTTGTTTCATTACTTAAAAACCCAAGCAATACTTAGAAACCAACCCAGCAAGTATGGGCGGGAGATTATTTTCAGCTCAATTATAATACTTAGTCATTCTCAGTAATAACTGGCAGAGAATGCATGTGTGGGTCCACTCAAAAGAGCTAAACTAAAAATGTTTTAATTTAATTTAAAGTGTAGGCTTGCTATTATTTAAGGGACAATGAACCTCACAGCATCATCACTAAAGCCTAGTCAAACCCTATGGCCCTGGGAGTGCTTGTTTTGCATATCCTGCTCTTTGGAGTGACCTTAGCCTCCCCACCCAGTCTTCTTGCCCTTTTTAAAGGCAGCTCCATCTTCCCAGGCAACCAAACCCAAACCATCAACCCGGACTCCTCCTGCTCCCTCAATCTCCATGCCACTTGTCTCTATCGCCTATCAAATTCTACCCTAATCACCCTCAATTCTGTCCCTCTCTATTCTCACCGCACATCCTCAGTTCAGACCCTTATCATAGCTCATGCAGGCCACTGCAAGAGTCCCCAGCAGGTCTCCCTGCCTTCCTATCTAACCTCCACTCTGGCACCCACTGTGAGTCTTTCCAAAATAAACCTCAGCCTGTCATGACCCTGCCTATTACCCCTAACATCCACCCCTACTCCCTATCATTCATGTGAAACAAATTCCTGAAATTATTTTAAGCAGCATATAAACCAACATTGTTTTACTGTAATTTTTTTTATTATTTTCACGTGTAATGAGGGGGGAAATCCTAAAATTTCCTATGTGTTATGGCTTAAGACAGTTTCAAAAGTGAATGGGCAGACACTTGATTTTTTTAAATGTATCAAACAGATAGTATAACTGAAATGTGGATATGACAAAAAATCATGTAAGTGGCAGTAAAGTTTGGAAAGCACTGACCTACAGAATAAAATCCATACTCTTTTCCCTGGGCTTCAAGCCCCTTGTAATCTGGCCCCTGCCCATCCTTGTCACATCTCCACCATTTGCGGCAGAGTCCAGGTAGACTGAGCCCTCAGTGGCAGGCTCCATGACAGCCTAGGGCATTTACCTGTCATGGCCTCAGCACTGTGAGAGAATCCTGACGTAGTGTATTAGGGTTTTTCAGAGAGACAGAAACAACAGGAGATATACATGTACATAAGGAGAGTTCTCATAAGGAATTGGCCCCTTTGGTTATGGAGGCTGGCAAGTCCCATGTCTCCAGAGCCACTGTCCCAGTTTGAGGCTGAAGGCCGGAAGCTGCTGTAGAGACAAGAAGAGTCAATGTCCCAGTTAAAAGGCCATTAAGCAAGAGAATTCTTACGCCAGGGAGGGTCAGTTTATTGTTCTATTCAGGTCTTCAAGTGATTGGATGAGTTCTACCCACACTAGGGAACTTGGTCCTGGTTCAAATGTTTATCTCATCCAAAAACACCCTACAGGGGCCTCCCTAGTGGCCTAGGGGTCAAGTCTCAGTGCTATCACTGCTACCGCCTGATTTCAATCCCCAGCCAGGGAGCTAACCCACATGGCGCAGCAGACTTCTGTCTCACCCACTAGTCACATCAGCAGTGTATTTCCGTAGGTCTGCCTGTTCTGCTCCCCAGTCTGTCTCTAGTGAATCCTCTCACTTCCCGCATCTCTGGCCTACACCCCAGTTCTTCTATTGATAAATAAATAATTTAAAAAAAAAAAAAAACACCCTGCAGACACATCCAGAATAATGTTTAACCAAATATCTGGGCACCCCATAGTCCAGTCAAGTTGACCCATAAACTTACCTATCACAGTAGATATCCAATATCCCCATGAAGAAAGAACACTCCTACTCCTACCTATAATACCCCTATCTGCTTCCTGCAGATCTGAGCCTTCAGCACTTCTCAGAGGTCTGGTGCTTCTTCCTGGAAGTCCTTAGGCTTCCAGGTGCTAATTGACCTAGCACTCTGCCCCCATACTCAGTGGGAAGACTGTAGACACTTCAAATTGCTCTCCTATTCTTATTTTTAGGTTTCATCATCTCTTACCTGGATTACAGTAATGATATCTACCTGCCCTTCCAGTCATCTTCCACACCTGGTCACAATACCTAATCTCCTAACTTAAAATATTTCCACAGCTAGACATTACATGATAGTTCCAATGATTATAAATTATTCTCTTTCTTAGGCATCACAACAGTATAGCTATATGGGAGAATTTTCTTATTCTTAGCTGATGCAAGTGGAAGGATTTATAGGTGACATATCATCACATCTGCAGCTTACTTTCAAATGATTCAGGGGAAAAAAAAAACACAGAAAGAGGAAAGGTAGAGGAAATGATAAAGCAAATGTGGCAAAATGTTAATATTGTGTTTAGATAGTAAGTGTAAGTGTGGCTATTGTGCTATTATTTCAATTTCTCTATATTTTGAAAATTCTCAAAACAAAAGTTATTTTGGAAAAATCCTCCACAGCTTCCCTATCACTAGTGTATAGAGTCTTAAACACTCTCGGTTGACAATACCTACAGCCTTCTTACAAGCCCAGATTCCTCCCTCATCACTCCTCTACCTGCCAAGCCTTCTGACACACCACCTATTGTTCCTTTAATAACAATCACCATCATTACTTACAATTATTACTACTGTTGCCCAATGGAATATGTATCATATGCTAGGCACTACTGTAAATAGTGTATGTGAATCAACTAATTTTAACTCTCATAATAATAATAATGACTCTAAGAAAGTACCATTATACTTGCCTTTTACAGATAAAGAAACAGAGACCAAAAAGAAAGCAGGAAACTTGTCCAAGGTCACAGAGCTGCGTGTAGAAGCCACGATTTCGAGCCCAGGAAGTCTGGCTCCAGAGCCCGTGGTGGGCGTTGCCTAGAGTACTAGCCATTCTCCAAGTGAACTTCGACCAAATCCCCCCATTCATGCTATACTTTTCCTGGCTCCCTCTCCTCTGCTACTGGGCTACATGCTCCTTTGTCACTGTGTTACTCCTACAGTGCCTGGCACACAGGGGTCACGCAACAGAGGAGTGTCCAATTGAACCCCATCCCCTCACCAACAACTTTCAGGCCACTTTCCTTTGCCTTGAAGACTAAGTAGTAAGATAGTGAAAGTACAAAGGTCCAAGTCATGGCAAGACTGATGGGAGGGTTAAATGAGAGAACACACCCACCCTTTTCCCACGCCAGGAAAAGTAGGAAAACAGTATGTTCTGCAGCTATTTAATACTTCTATCAAAAGTAAGAATGGGGCCTCCCTGGTGGCACAAGGGGTTAAGACGCAACCTATGAAGCAATCTGCAGCCACTGCAGCACGAGTTCGATCCCCAGTCAGGGAGCTACCCACATGGCACAGCAGACCTCTCCTGAGTCGCCCGCTGCTCCCCTCAGCAGTGTATTTCAGTCAGTCTGCCTGTTCTGTTCCCCACTCTGTCTCTGGTGAATCCTCTCCCCTCCCCCACACCTCTGGCCTGTACCCCAGTTCTTATATGCATAAATAAAATATTTTAAAAAAATAAGAATGGCCTACTAGAAGAAGTCCCTGATATAAACTGAGACTGGGGAGGTTTATGGATTTCATTGATTCAGTTGGCTCTGTATACATTAAAGAGAAAAAATGCACCCTTTTTCTCTTAAACTAAAGATTAAGTACAATTTATTAACCTTTTCCTGAATCAGAACTGAGTTCTGGCTATTCATCCTGCAGTCTTTAATGAATTATAAAGTTATGGAGGGGGAAAAAAACACTGCAGGTAGCATGGCTTAACTCCTAGTAGGCTGCCAGTGAAAGGTGTTAGCTCAGTGAATAAAAAACAATCCAAAGTAGGCTGTCATTCAAAAACCAAGTGCTGCAATCGACCTTCTCCTATCCAGCATCAAAGCACTCTCTCCTCTCCATCCCTGGCAGGAAGTCATCAGCTTTTCTCCCCTACCATGACCCTTGTGCAGGGAGCTCATGACCTCTAGAGGCTGAGCACTTCATTTTCATTCATCCCAAGCTGTCAGAAAGTCCTTCTGATCACAAGCTAAATCTGCTCTGTAAAATTCTACCCATTTGTTCTGAGCACTGCCCTTCTGGGGTAAGATCTCCCCTAATCTACCTCCCAAGTCCAGTCTTTGATTATTCAAAGGCAATTACCCCAGCCTCTAGGTTGTTTCTTTCCCAAGTCAGCGATCCTGAAGGTGCTATCATCTCCACTGTCCCCATCTTACTCACCCTCCTCTGGACACACACACCCTCTTTATCAATTTCACTCTTAAACATACTGTCCAGTAGAAAAACCGCAGCGTTCTTGTGTTCTGAGCAGGACCCTCATGTAGCTCTGGCATTTGGCTCAAAGGCACCTCTTTCCCAAAAACTATTCTTCAATCTGTTTCCCCATCTTGTATTTTATTAGTTCAATCCAGAGTCACAATCTACCACAATCTCCTGGGTGCCTGATCCTGTCTGTTATCCAACTCAACTCAATTCAGCACAACAAAAGCACAGAGACAATCCCATACCAGTTACAAATGGGGTACAATGAGAGAGAGATTAACCCCTGCAAGCAATGTCAGTCACCCATGCAACCCCACTCAGCACCTAGCATGTGTGGCCCTGGACTCTGGCCCTGGACTCAGCCCCAGGGCCACAGGGAGGAAGAGCCTGACACGTTTCCTCACTCTTCTACCAGGAACCTTCCACACTGTTGATGATTTGTCTTACGATCTACAATTCAGAGAGTGGTTAATAGATGCCAGGTAAGCATTAAGCACTCATTTGTCCTCACAACAATCTTATGGGGTTGGTATCATTATACACCATTTTATAGCTGAAGACACTGAGGCTCTGACAGGTTAAATAGCTTGCCAGAGGCCACACGGCTGATACATAGTAAGGTTGGAAGCAAACCTACACTTGATTTGATGCCAAAGCCCATGCCCTTACCTGCTTCTAATACTACCTGCTGCAGGTATGTGCATATCTGAGCTTTCCACAAATGCCACCCAGATCAGGGCTAAGGACCCCTCAGAGGACTCTCCCTGGGGCTTGTTCAGGGCCAGGTCTAAGTACTCATAAAAGCACACAACTGTACCGTTACCCAGGACCTAATTCCCAACCTTCTCCACAAAACCTTGCTCCACACTTTTCAGAAACCCAAGAACATCACCTACAGTTTACCCCTGAATATAGGTGTGTGGGGGGTGGGGGGAAGGCACAGGTTGATGTTAATTACACAAAGAAAAGGAGGACTAAGGAAATGCTTTAAAATTTCTCAGGAAATCCAAAGGAGAATATGACTAATAAAAGAGTGAAAACGAAGCCACAAAGGAAATTTCTTAGGAGCCAACTGGTATCACCAGCATAGATGCTGAGAAACAGACCTACAACCCCACTTTAAACCCTGACATAGGGCACCTAAATATGAATGAGCAAAGCCATTTTTTTTTAATGAAAGAACTACAGAAAATAACCAGAAATGATACCCTCTGAGCAATAACAGAAGCTGAATTAAGCCTGCACAACTGGCCCATTGTTTAAATATGCAATCACTCTTCTGGGTGGAGAACGTTGCAAGAAGCTCCAGCATTCCATTTTGCATGTGCCCCTTCTCCCAAGCTAGAAAAGGGGCAGCAATCTCAGTTCTTCCAATCCCTCTCCGTATAGCCTTCAAGCCCTTTGGCATTATCTTAGTTCCCGGCTTGGTAAGACTGTCTCCCCAAACACCTCCTAGTCATCCCCTCTTTCCAGTACAACCCCCACAGGTCCATCAAGGACACATCCTAAAAAAACCACACCAAATAAAGCCCCTTCTCCAAAACCTCTGTGGAGCATTCTCTACCATGACCTTCTGAAATCTGGCTCTAACTTCTTTCATCAAATTCCTCTCCTTAGCCTTCTTCCTACACTTCCTGCATTTTAGCCACATTCTGAACTTGAAGGTTAAGGTCATAGAATTTGGGATCAGATAGTCTGAGTTCAAATCCTGGCTCCATAGCTCACCAGTTGTGAAACCCTGGGCAAGTATCTTAACCTCTATCTCAGAGTGTGTTGCACATCTGTCCATGGGGC